AGCATGCATATGCCTTTCATGTGAGCGGAAGTGAGCACTTACAATAGAACTGGAGCTGGAGGTTTGGTCGCTGGTGCAAAACAAGATGCGTCGATCAAGTCTCCAAGAGAGCAGTCTGAAAACACCGTGCATCAAAACTGGTTGCACAACCTAGGAATGCAGAGTACATGGGTTCGGACACGCACTCCGAAAAGTGGAAGCAAGCTTGAAAAATAAGTGTTCAATCCAGACGAATATCGGTCATTGTGTTGCTGTTAACGGCGAGTGAGCACCCGTTTGACTGCCTTCAGACCTAACGACGATCATCTTGTCTCGGCGGCACCCACAGTGCCGGGCATTGGCAATTACCTATAGAAATCGCCCGGCAGGTGCATGATGCGATAAATATGGCAATTGCTGGTCCGCCACCAGTAATCACCGGACATGATAACTGATGTAAAGTAACCCACTCGAAAGCTGAAATATCCCTCACTAAACCGTAGTGTCATCAGATAACCTTGGGCCAGCCACACAGTACAACTATTGAATACGCACAAAAAAGGCAGTCTGCGGCAAGAAGACAGCGTACGAAGGCTCATAAAGTAAATCAAGTCTAAATGAGACATTTACCTGGTTGGTGCCTCATGACCTGCAAACAGTCGTGAGCAATTCGGACAACAATATGCCAAGATCATCAGGCCTTCTCTGTCAGCAGCGCATTCCGTTTCCATGATAGCAGCCCGTATTTGCTCTGACAAGTCTGCAACGTCCATGTTTTCTGCATCCGGCAGTTCGATTGACAGAGGGCAGGCGAATCCGGGATTTTTCGTGGCACATGTGTTCGAATGAATGTGCCGTAGTCTTGGGGAGGAAAATAATGCTTCACATGGTTTCACGTGCACTGTTTTACCATCTTCTGTAACTTTTTCCATTGATTTTTGCTCCGCCTGAGGACAAGACAGAGCAGAAGATTGATCAGTATCTTGATGTAAAACACGCAGGTGACCTATCAAGTCAATCCGGCCTCCAGATCCGAAGAAAATTCGCCCACAAGCCTGACAGCCCAATTGCTCACATTCCTCTTCCACATCAACGTGATCCTAGAAAAGAAACGCGAGACGGTGAAATGCATCCGAATCAAAAAGACGGAGTTCAACAAAGGTGTCAGGCACTTACGAGCTCCATGTGTAGACGGAATTCCTTGGCGTTATCTAAAGGTGTCCTACAAAGGCGACAAGTAGAGGGAGCTGGGTCACCAGAAACATCACCCAATAACCGTTCCAACCGACTGAGAGAGACCGATTTGGAATTCGGCTTCTCTCCACGATTAGCCATGGTTCTGTCCCTCGCAGATCCCTTCGGGTCACGCTTTCCACCTCGGCCACCCCGACGGCCAGCTCCACCATCACGCGCTGTTGTGAAATAATAAAACATGTTCACTCGCATGAGAAACAAAGCAGCACAGAATGGAAGTGCAGTGAGCGAAAAATCACCGGTAGTTTAATCTAAAGGCGCCCAGAAGGAAACGGTGTAGGAAAGTCACCGAAAGACAACATCCACTTAACATGGCCGCTCATAACAGTTGCAAAGATAGGCACACTATCAATTACATTGTTTATAAAGTTGCTTGAAAGGCTACCTATCCTTAATAGGTGGCTTACGAGACCGTTATGCATTGGGATATCATAAAAAAGCAACAGATCAGCTGGGTGTTGCAACTGCGAATACTATGCGGCGGCGTCAACCCACGGACACTGGAAATATGGTTACGTCAAACTCAACAAAGCTGGTGTAGAGTTTGCGATCCTTCATGATAGTGCTACACAGGAATGGCGTCTAGAGACTAGCAACCTGGGAGCCCACGACAGATTGTGATTGGACTGCAATCATTAAAGTCACAGAGACGGGTGTATTTTGGGAGAGAAAGATACCCAGGCTATGACTTCAGGTGAAACCTGTTTTCAATCAAGCGACAGGTTTCACATTGCTTAGAATAACCCATTTAAGAAAGATACTGCGCTGCTGAAAATGAAATCCACATCATGGGATTACATGACAGCGAACAGGCTCCAGGTTTCTTCCAAAAGTCTGACACTGATAATTTCTAATAACGATGGTCTCTGAACCATCCCATAGTGAAGCTAACGATCATGAAACGAGATCATATGAAAAGGGATTTACCTAGGGCAGCGGTCTGTGCCTTCCTCAAACTTGTTCGAATTAAAGACTTTGCCCGGTCCGGGAGTATTTTGTGCATTTCGTAAAGGTGAAGTTTCAGTACGTTCCGGTCAGTAAAGGCCACCAGATGACATTCCGGGCATTCGATCGGTTCCGTTTCAACTAGTTCTGGTGGTCCATAGCGAACCAAATCGTAGTTGGAGTCATGTTTTAAAGCTGCGTGTCGTCGTAGAGCAATATAGAGTGGGTAGGCCAAACCACAAATCTGAAATGGACATGAGGATGACTTCCGAGGTCTATCATGTTGTATTGAGAAGCGAAACGCGAAAGTAAGCGTTCCTGGTGCGTTTACACTCAGCGAGGAGGAATGTCTCCGCTGGTTGCTTCTGGAAAAAGGAGGTGTCGTTCCTTAAGAGGGTTCGGCGTGCTCATGGTTTAACTTGCTTGTGGGGGGATGAGCAATGAGTAGTTTGTCGATAAGTGATTGGCTAACACTAAAAGCACGCGCCGACTGCATGAAATGCAGACCGTCGTGGGTGTTAGAACCGATGTTGCAGTGGGTGGTGGGATTTCCTCACATTAATGAGGAAGGACTCCTTTTCTGTTATGCAAACAAATGCCACTGAATGCCATTCATGTGGTCGATTAGAGCTATGCAGTGTCCACTTCGATAACCGAATGGTGAGCTCGAACGTTTTTGTCATTCTACTGCAAACCTGTCCTGAATGGCAGGATGGGGTTATCATACCACAACTCGCCAGGATCATCATCGACTAGATTTGGACTGAGTCACTTTCGGCACAAAACTAACAAAGAAACTGTAACACACATATTCGCGTCCACTATAAAAGCCTTGATCAGAGGTCCGCACACTCAATGAGGCCCAAACTACAGAAGCGGAAATTGTACACTTATTTGAAGGTCTGCTAGAAAAGCGGAACGACGAATTGATTGCACAAGGTCGGAAATATCATCCACTCCGACAGGATTGCAACCCGTACCCACCCATGTAAAAAGTACCAGTTTTTGACTATTGGGCTGTTTAATGCTATGTATCTATACCGTATGTATGAAAATCTAGGCCGTGTGGGTGCAAGGGCCCTAATCTCGATAAAAAAGGATAGGAGGTTTCTCAGCGAATTAGCTCACACAAAAGTGATTTAGTGAACTTTGGCCACATTCGAGGCGTGGCTTCCGGCGATGAGAATCCTGAGGTTTCGCCGTTCCGATATTGTCCTTACATGAGAAGTAACTGTTCGTTGGAGGTCTCTCAGGGACTGTGTCGGACTACATCTCTGAGTGCATCTTATTCGCCCGTGTCATCTGCTCACTTCCTGCTCGTGTGTTGCACGTGCGCTACCGACAGGGTGCAGAACTAATTCGTTCATGCACTCAGTTACTAGTCATGTAGCAACTAACTACTGTGTTTCGAAACTCCCTGAGAAGATTGAGTGGTCGAATGCAAACCACGATCTATTTTGACCACAAAAGTGCGAAAATGATCAGTAATCAGAGTCCAACAGAACAACTTTGTTCCTTAACTGGTCAGACAGACGTGATACCAGTGGCATGGCTTGTGATACGTTCCCTGCAGCACGTTAGGATATCCGTACCTCGAAATTTGCCAAGCTTAGCCGGGCTAATAGCGAGACAGCAAGGTTGCCTGAAAACCGTGCGACATTGCTGATCACACAAAAACACATGGCTTAGCGACCAGATCATTATTATTACTGTAATTACTATTATTAGTAATTCAAAATACACTCATTTACATACCATTCTGGTTTTGACGGGAAACTCACATGCAACCCAGAAGAATCTCTTGTTTGACGTTTTTAAGCAACTGAATATGCCGCATCGGGCCACCTTACGTTTCATTTGGCACGATATTCGAGATGTCGCGATACATTGTATAGACTAATACACTATTGTTTGACGTTTTTAAGCAACTGAATATGCCGCATCGGGCCACCTTACGTTTCATTTGGCACGATATTCGAGATGTCGCGATACATTGTATAGACGTAATACACTATTCATAAGGTGGCTGAAAACTTCGACAGCCCACGACGGATTTCGCCCTTCCCGGGATTCATCAGGTAGGTGCAAACTTATGCTCTACGTGAACCCAAATTGCATGAAATTAGCGAAATACACCCATGAAGCGGCCTGGTGCAGCACATTCACTTGCTTTAAAAACAAACGAGATTCACCTGGGTTCCAGGTGAGTTTCAGGTCAAAACCAAACGGAGGTGCAAATGAGTGTATTTCAATACACCTAAAATCCGTCCACTTTGTCTTAGGCCAGCTTAGGCCTGAAGCCTTGCAACATTTAGGGTATTCACTGAGTAGCCAAGCTACCCCGCAGGTGAATCAGCATATACCTGCCACGTTGACTTACAAAAGACACACAAGAGCCTCCAGAAGGCATGAAGTAATGATGTAGTCGACCAACCCAACGTAGGAACAGCAATCAACGTCAATCACTAGGTTTTGGTTAATCACCACCAACTTCCGCTGCACGCCAACAAAGGAAGGTTTGGATGTCACAGCTTCGCTCGCCGACGTAGGTAACAGAAACGGATAGATACACACTCAGGACAATAGCTGAAATCGCCTGTGAATGAATGCAGGGGCGGCAGTAAAACTCCCATCAGAGATCAGGAGAAGCCGTGCGTTGAAGGCGATAGCTTGGGCATATGTATTTCATTGAACGTGCAACTGCGCCTATTAGACAAAATCTCCAATAAGAAACAATTTTGACTGCTCGTATACATACCCTCTATAAACGGAAATCACTACCTTTCCATCTTCTCCAAAACCATCTAGCTGTGATCAGCTTCTCGTGTACTACTTTCGTAAAACCGAGAAGCACTGATATACTGCAGGGTTAACCATAACAGGACAAAAGCCTCCAGTTCAGTGGGAAACGCTTTAGATCTGTCCTATTCCTCGAGGTTATATCCATTGGGAATATCAGCGCACTGTGAATTACTGTAATCACTGTGGCTAAGGTGAACTAAAAGACTGCAGTAGATTTGGTGTCCGATGGCTTGGCAGTTATTTCAGGCACAACTTTGTGATCCGCTGAAGACGTTTTCTCTGGACAAAGCCAGAGCATCTGTCGTGTGGCTAGAGCATGTTTACGTTGTATAGCCTGCGAAACTGTGGTCCCGGCGTGTTTCGATACTGCCGAGGTCATTTGGTCAGCTTACAAGTGAAAGCTCAGTGGCTAACAAAGTTGGCTGTATAAAAGTGCGACGTGTTTCCGCGAGAGAAGCAACCAAACCGAGCGAGCCTAGGTAGGGAGGAAAAATGAATCACTGTCGACAAGAAGCAATATTAAACGCAAGAGATCCGGGCAACTGTAGCTTGCCTCTCGAGAGTCCCGGGCGTTAAAAGACAGTAGAAATACAGGAAGATAGCACCGACAGCTGCAAAAGACCCGGAAAATTCAATATTCAGAGGGGAACAGACCTGACAGGGGAATACCAATTCACCATTGTGAGAAGATTGCAAGTGCTCATCGCGTTCACGAAGACTAGCCAGCGCATTATCACCACACAAAGGACAAACGTATAAAAGTGTCGGCGCCGACGATTTGGCTCCAGATTTGGCTAACACGGAGGGTAACGGAGGAAGCGTTAAAGGAACGTCAAACGAAGGACCTTTATTGGTCGTGTGCCCATTCAAAGGTTGCGGCGGAGTCGTATCAAGGGAATTCGGCCGTTGTTTATTTCCTTTTGATTTGCTAGGAGTTGAAATCTGGCTCGATGGTTTACTTGGAAGTATACATGCTTGAAAAGTTGTTTCCTGCAACCAGGATGTATAACAGATATGAGAATATTTTGAAAATGCTGAATGCACTCTTCACGTCGCACAATCGCTTAAAAGTTTACGGAGCACAGGCGTAACGTATTTTAGGGGTTTTAATGTGAACTCACCAGATGAGTTGGGCGGAAAAAATTGTTCCAGGTACCAAATTGACCAAAGCACCAGTAGCCTTGGTAAATGGCTCAAAAGTACCCGTTCGACAAGAAATACCTAACTGCTTATCTGATGAACAGTATGAATGTAAAAACCAGAGTGGGATAACTTCGATGACTCTGCTACTAAAATATACGATATCCGCGTGAGCAGCTGTCACGCAGCACAGATAATTTCAGTGGAATACTGAGAATACGGATTACAGCAAATTCAACGGCTTGATGTTCATCAATCCGGTCGTGTCCATGACTGTTTAGAAACCGATAAATGATTGCATTGGGCTGACCTGGTGACCGGTATCCACTAGATGGTTTAAGGTTGAGGTACCGTCTAGCTTTTTAACTTCCATTCGGAAAGATTTCGTATAAGGCTCTGATATTGTAAAAAGCGTCTGGTTTTGCGGCCGATACAGTTTGCGGAGTACGTGCAACTGGATGAATATACCACGAAAGTTTGGCAGCTGATAATGAATGTTTTCGATTCGAACACTGAGGGGCTACTGAATCCAACTGTGTGTGCGCAGAAGCGACTGATTGACTGACTCAATCTGACTGAACTGATCAATGACCGACCAACCAAAAACAAGCACCTTTTGTCACCTGGCTATTACTCACTTCGCTATCTGCCTCACTATGAACCTTGCATTTATCCATTCAGATTGTTTGTTCATTAATTTGCAACTGTAAAAGCCAGCTGCGACTTGCCGGGAATATAATTAATATAACGCTCAATTCAACGGAATAAAATCTTGCTAGAATCCTCTGTTAATCGAGCAGCCTGATTGGTATGAGTTCCCAAACCAGAATTGCATTAGAACACCGAAAACTGTAATTTACTAGACTGTCCGTACCGACACCGCCCGAAGACTTTATTAGAAGAGATTGTAGAAGTCGGGTCAAATATAACAGTAATTCTGGTCTGAACGTAAAGATGTACCTTACTGTGGGACAACAATGTAAAGGCAGTAAACATGCTTCCCCCAGAAGAACAGTTCATATTCATAGATGTAGCAATATTGCTCGCCCCCCCCCGCCGCCCACCCCGACTGGGAGGATGGGTGAGACCTACCTGAGGACGGGTGAGTCCTAGAAACCTCAAGCTGCAACCTCCCAACGGTTGACCGTGGCGGCTGGCACATTATTCCAAACAGTCAACATACTCTTTAAACAGGAGTTAGGTGTTGTTCAGAGGGCAACTGCTCTACGCAGCATCACTGAGAGTCGGACAACTATACCTTACTTCCTGCGCCATCGAATTAGGAAAGTCTCTAATAACCAGATGGGTCAGAGTACCGAGTCTTTGGCTCTGAGCAGGGTCTTCCGAGGAAAAACCTGACACGTTATTCTGCGGGTCGGATTGTTGAGTCAGAGAGTACGGGCAGGAGAAAGTCCCTTCACCTCCCACTGACTTGTGGAGTTGAAGGTGGGGTATCTTAAACAAACCCTTCTTCGATCAGGAAAACCGGGGAGCAACATCTACGCACGTCGTTTAAGGCCTGTCTATTTAAGTTTTCAGCCCCAATGCCAATTAGTGCTGGTGTCAATACAGCCCGTCTGTTTGTAGCTCTGTAATTGCAGTATTGATTCCCAGCCCTCCACCCAGTTGGCGAGCTGATTCATCTGCACCAGCCGCGCTGGATACATCATGCTTTTCATATGTTAGTTGATTGATTGTCCTCGTGTTCTGTTTACCGAAGCGGATTTTGGTTGGAAAATAGCACAAACTAGGATCCTTGAGGAAGAAGCTAGACCCTACCGTGGTAGGGCTGCTTGTATGCCTCCGTGACCCATTAAGCTATACTAATAAATAAAAAAACAACCGCACAGCGAAAACACCCTTTCAGTGCATAGATGTCATACCACAGGGAGGAAGCACCAAAGCTACGGTACTGCCAAGTTGCCCATGCCTAGACAGTTGGACTACGGGGTATCCGCGCGACACTCAGATGACTTCTCATACAAGGTTGGTCAATGCTTAGAGGTGTGACCAATAGTCTTCTGGTCCTATAACTTGGGAGTTGGAACTTGTGACAATGACCTTTAAAAAATAATGCACTCGCATATTCTGTCAAGGACTATTGTCTTCCAGTTAGGCTTTTGAGCCAATGGCCATGGATAGTGACCTTAATCGTTCTTCTATCCGTGTTTAGACACCTTGGCAGTATCCCAAGGGGCGTACAAACTAGAATTGATTGATTTGATGATTGACAAACTAGAATCCCACAGTCAAAAATATTTTCATGGGGAATCGGTCGTCGAATGGTGTTATCAGCCCGGACTTCCTGGCTGTACACATCAGGACGGATGGGCGAGAGTAAATACTTTTTCAACCATAACCCTCTCCACTGAGAATACACTTGTTGGACCACCTGTATTGGTTCTGGTCGCAACAGTTGCGAGTCAGCCAGTTCCGACAGCCTTAAGCTGTCAAAATCAATCTACAAGATCCAACACCCAGGAGATCTGACTGCTTTTGTTGTTCGCAGTCTGAAGCAAGCAAGGCAACCAGCTGCGCTTCCTCTCACACTAGTCTCACCTCACATTGACGTGTGCTGTGTATCAGGAAAACGAGGTAAAGATGTGAGTGTTGGAAGAGCGAACTGTCTCATCACTCTCCACTCGCTTACTGCTGCGTAACTCTGGTGCAATGATCCTCACTGGCCTGGATACCCGTTAATAGATACCCATCCGCGGCTTCTCTGGCAACTTCCGCGCAGATGCCTTACAACCGGAAAGCGGGACGCTGTGCGGTTGTCGTGTCTGCTTACGACCGAAACGACTGAAGCTACGACACCGTCAGAAACAACTCTTGTGATGAGTGGGATGCCCGTTACGACGATCTGGCTCAGATGTCACTGTGGTTCCGGGTGAGTTAAGTGTTCCAGTGAATAGACTTAGCGCAGACACCATTTGTACACTACTGACTTCCGAAATAACCGAAGTCGTCTGGCCATGCAGTGTACACCAACAGCGTGCTAGCCACGGACCAAAAGTGATCACTGATGGTGCGGATCAATAACTGACTGCTGTTCAGTTTGGAATAATTGTGTGAACTCTGACTACGCACTCCAACGGACTCGCTGTTCTCTTCGCCTTCCAAGGCCGCGTAAAAGGTGAACTAGCGCAACAATTCAAGGGCCGGGAGATCCCGAATTGGAATGAAATTCCGAGAATCGTCTTCTGGACTCTCCCACAACCGTCGGATGTCAGTTGGTACTGGATCAAACTTGTAAAATCATTGTACAATGCAGAAGGTTCCGTTTGTGGTACTGCACCGCTAGGTTCCATCAAACAACGGACATCGGAAAGAACAGTGGCAATGTTAGGATCTCAGGATGTTCCCGCAGATCCTCAACATAATTCAACGAATTATTAGACGTTAAGTGAGAGTGAGCGCGCGCGTTGACTGGGAAGCCTGATGGACACCGAAGGTCAAGTAAATCCAAGAAGTAAAAAAATCCCGGGACTGCCCTAAGTTACTTCGACCGATCTTTGAGACCTGCCCCCAGAAACCGTTGGTTGGTGAAACTATCAAGGATCAAAGTGACACGAACATGTTCAATAACGAAGAACGCATCGACCGCTTGGCCGAGCACTATAAGCAGAAATTATCATGACCACCTGCTGCCAATCAGTTGGATCCTGGTACTGGACAGTGAACCTACGGTCTTGGAGGTTTAGGACTGGATATATCTTCTCAAGCGCCACCGAGCTCTTGGTTCGCGTGATCTACCACCTGCAGTGCTCAAAGATGGAGGCGAAGTCCTCGGTCAGTACCGGTCTGATCTATTTGCCTATCTGGGAACCGAAGACGGCCGCAGGCAACTGGAAAGAATGGCTAATATCGCCTGCTTTCAAAAAGGGGCCCGTAGTTAATAAGATAATCACAGGGGGCCGGCTTAATCCCAGTCGCGACGACTCTGCGTCACATGTCCCTCATCGCATTACGATGCGCCGTGAAGCAATGACCCGATAGCAGCAGACGAGATTTCGATATCGTGGGGGGGGGTTGCGTTGACCAAATCGTCGTACTCGTCGGGCGTTTGAACGTATAAACAACCCACAATTTTTGTATTCCTGGATTTTCAAGGCACATTCGACTTAACTGACCGGTCTGTTCCTAGCACGGTTGCTAAGGAAGAAATATCCTGTGAGTTTGTCGATATAAGTTCTTTGTTTTCTCATACTTGCTGACTTGTGTGAGTATGCGCGGAGCCCTCCAAAAACTTCCACACACAAGATGGTGTCCGACAAGGATCCCAACCCTCTGCATTCCCATGTAACTTTGTGACGAACGAGATTATGGGATGAATGCTGGAAGGCCTTCCAAACCCCGGTGTCCAAGTAGCTGTTGACGAAAACGTCGTCGTCTGGAATATGCAGACAACATCCTCTCGTCTTCGCAGAGAAGAAAAGGCTTAGGTATCCTAAGGTGAACTGATCAGGATGTGCTTTGCATCCACAAGATGTGAGACCATACTCCTGGACATGTAGTCACTGAACACACAACTCACAACCCAAGAAGAGACATCGGAAGTTGTGGAGCATTTTGCTTACCTTGGAAGTTGTATTAGTTCTAATTGTAGTGTGACAGATGAGTGAAATGCACGAACGAGCGAGTCGCGTTTGCTACTTTGAGACACATGGTGACAAGGCAGTTTATCCCTGAATCTCAAGGACGGAGAACCTTATTGACCTGAAATAAGCAGCCGAATCCGACCTCTCTCTTCTGATGAAATGGGAGGCATAAGCATAATGAGAAAAGCCGGCCAAGGTCATACGGTCCTTCCGCAAGTGTTTGGCACCCACAAAGTGCGAAGTTAGGCTGCGAGACGTACATCCTTTGAGCATGCCTCTGTGTATGGAACGCTATACATACCTTGGAAGTTGCATAACCTCTGAAGGCAGTGTGACAGACAATGTCAACGCACGAGCCCCAAAAGCGGGAATCACGGTTACCGACTTGCACCGCTTGCGGTATCAAAAAGGAAGATCAGTGGGTCTCAATAGACGTGTTGTTTGCTGCTATACGGCTGCGATGCTTGGCCACTCCAGGTGGATGTATCTGATCACTGATTTCTCATGAGGATTATTGGGATCGGTTGGGATCAGCGCATCCCACAGTGCAATGAAGACAAGGATCATTTCTGACGTAGATAGCTCAAGCGATTAGAGCGCGAATTTACCGATCGGAAGGTCCGAGGTTCGACTCTCCCTGTCTAGGCTTGGGCAATCTGGCAGTATCCCAGCCTTCGTGCTCCCTTCGGGTGGCATGGCAGCTGGACACTGGAAGGGTGTTACAACTGAATTTTATTTTTTAGATAGCACTTTGCTGAAGCTGACGTGCCTTTTCCATGTATTATGCTGGGGAGAACAGTAGTTTCCCCTGCCTAAGTCGGAGTAGCGGAAACTCAGAAACGGACAGAAGTTAAAACGACAGTAGTGAATGTTACGAAGATTTTTGGTACCGTCGATGGTTTTCTCCCAGCATGAGGTTCACATGCTTGGCTGGAAATAGCGAACGATATGGTGGTTAACAGATATCAGCGGTTCCCATACTGTTGTTTCTGTCTAGGTTGTCTGACTGAGTTTTGCACATTTTGGCTTCCTGGATGTTTATGACAGGCTAACCATAGGGGCACTCCCTGCCTCAGTTTTTCGTCCCTCCGTTACAAGATTTCATTCAAACTGACATGGCGTTGAAGCACCGGTGTTCTGCGGTGTTAGTGTTCATGATGCTGTAGTGGACTCTGAAACTGATATATCTGGGGTGGGTTTACATTGAATCACCGAATTAAGTCCTGCGTCGATTACGAACTGCAGTGCATAACTTTTGAGACTCACTTTCATGGTTCAACCCTTCGTTGTCTCAAACTGAAAGTGAACGTCTGTCAGCAGTTACCCACTGTCCTCCGGACCCTTTCACTGACGAGAATTTTGTAGCAGCTAACGACAAAAATTCAGTATTCATGAGTTAAATGTGCTGCTTCTGAAGGTCTCCTCCAACTACCTACTGACTTGCAGTATGGCTCTAGAAGGTAACAAAATACCATTGTTAAATAAATAATCGCTCAGACGCAACACTCGGTGCCAAGTTGCCATNCCGAAAGAAGCACGAGAGCTGGGATACTGCCGGGTTCCCCAAGGCTAGATAGGGGAAGTCGATAGGTAGAGGTCGGGTTCAACTCACGGACCTTCTGGTTAGTAAATTCGCGCCCTAACCGCTAAGCCATCTCGCCCCGTGTCACCGTTAAGTATGTAAGGGAATCGACCAGACTTAGCAAGATGTTTCCAGGACTTTGAGTTTGGTAGTAAGCTGTGAGAGAACTACACTTTGAAACATCTACGTAACTACTTTTGCATGTTACTCCGGAAAAGACTACCATTCAAAATTAATACGTGTCAGCACAACATGAAACGAAATGTTGTAGGCAAGCACCATACATTTCTCAAAAGCTGACTCAGATTAGGCCTTGACACAGCTCGTTAATCGGCCATAAACAATAAACGATGCAGAATAATAATATGGGGGAACTCTTCCTCAAAAAGTGGAAGGCGTAAGCAACTGCACCCAAAACATTGCCATTAATTAATTACGGCAGTGAAGCATCAGTGCCAACACTGATGTTGCTGTCTTTGATGATGATGATTGCCATTAATAACTTGCATGAAACTAAGCCAGGAATATTGATATGGGTTGGTTATACCACCCACCAGGGGCGAGATGGCTCAGTGGTTGCAGCGCGAGGTTACTACCTGGAAGGTCCGTGGTTCGAATCCGACCTTTGCATCTCGAGTTCCCTGTCTAAGCTTAGCAACCTGGCAGTATCCCAGCCCTCGTGCTTACTTCGGGTGGCGTGGCAGCTAAGTACCGAAAGGATGCCACAGCTGAATGATTACCTTATTATTTTATCTTTTTATACCACTATATCATGCTGAATCGGAATGAATACGGCGGTAAAAGACTGGCAAAGACAACACAGCGTGCAAACTAATCAATCAAGTCATTGGAAACACGCCATGCCTGCTTATTTGGAGAATCACCAAGTTAATGCTTGATGTTTTTGCGCTTAACCATGTTTGGTAGCCCCAGGATAGATTCACCGGTTATTGTTGGACGCATGATGAAAACTTCCCTAAAAAGGACTTCGCGTTTGAAGGTGTTTGGGTTCTCCTGGAAAATATGGGACGTGAGAAAAGCCCCTCGTCTGCACCCGCAGCAACATACGGTTAAACAGGACCACCATTAGACGTCGAGTTTTTATTGATGTTCTGGTGCAGAATCAGCGGAATACCGATAAAATTAATAATCATCCAGCCGTAACGCCCTTTCGGTTTCTAGCTGCCCGAAACAAATTAGGAGCTAAGAAACTGCTAGGTTATCCAACACTAGACAAAAGCAGTCGAGATGCAAGGATCGGGTTCGAACTTCGAAATTTCCGGTCAGTAAGTTCACGCTATAACCACTGAGCTAACGCGAGCTCTGAATCACGGGAAGAAACGAATTTAATAACATATGACGTACCTGTTTTCGGCCTACGAACTTTGTCCTGTAGTGAAGATGAGTTTCCTTAACGGGGCTCTTAGCTGTTCCAGCGGGAGCGGTACGCACGAGGGGATACGTCTCGGAAAACAATCTGTCAATTTTTTCCGCTTCTGAGACAAGTTGTTTTTGGGTGGCCACCGAAGCAGACATTTCATGTGTTATATTCTCCAGATGTACTCGACCACCGGTAGAAGGGCAGTGCTGAAGGTGTAATTCCAACGAAACAGGAGGCTGGGCGGAATTGTTTGCACGCAGAACAAAGGCACACCAACCGCATCCCAGACAAGTGACTACGCGATGTGGGAGTTGGGTGCGCCTCAAGTAAGCCATAGACGCTAGTCAGAAAGCCAAGAAGAACAATTACTGATTCAATTTCAGAGCAGCCGAGCAAGACATTGAAACAAAGTATTATGGCTTGTCAAATGACACGACATCCCAGGCGATTATTTAGGATGAATTGGTTATGACAGTGTAGTAAATGTGTTGAAAAAGCATTAAAATGGGTAACCACAGATAATCTAAGAGACGGTACGTCGACGAATAAATCGGTCGGCTTAGTCAACGACTTCATGGATTAATCAACTTAAAACCTCGCTAAACTTCGTGACTGACGGTTAACAATGTGAACCCAAACTGGATACAGCGAAGCCAAGACTTAGTACAACGACAGCGCGAGGAGTAAACTACTGCTAGCGCAATGGGTTGAAAGCCAGTTTACAGTAGAGAAATCAGAGGTAGTTTTTGCGGTGGACTTGCGCTAACTTTACGACTGTCATATGATGCACCAGCAAAAGGATATGAACAGATGCTAGAAAAGTTAGGTGTGCTCCAACATGGTACAGATCGGACTATCGAAGTATTTCTGCACGGTACATTTCTCCTCCAGTTGTCGGACGTAATCGCTAAATCCACAGACCCTTGGGCTGATCGTCTCTACCCGTTTATCTCCGTATGCATGCAATTTGACCACAGAGGAGAGTGAGAAAAAGGCTCGAGCTCTGTACAGCAACGCTTGTGCTTACCTGGTGATGGGCACCAGTGCATCTTGTGCTCCGACGCGATGTGCTTGATCAAATCCTCCAACCGCGGAGATCCCGTATAAGCCAGGCAGTAGCAACAAAACAGACATGAGACATCCTGGTGAGCCCCTTCCATGTGAAGAGTGAACGCCTCTGGTTCAAACGGGGAAGTACTTGACTGGCAGCCATCCAGCTCACAGTAAGGACAACCAGGGAGTACTGCAGCGTTACTCGCAGGTTTACAGTCTCTTATATGCTCTGCCAGATCATGTTCACTACCAGCGACATATGGACATTGCCAACAGCGCCAGTGTTGATCATCCACAGATTCTGACTCTTCCTTCGGTCTCTTTCTCAAAGGTTCGGGTTCCAAAATATCTTCTTTATTAGCACTTCCATTTGTGTTGGAAAGACCAGCTTTTAGGATGCTGTAAAGTCGGCTGTATGGAGAATTCAAAGCATTTGAATCACCCATTAAACCGAAAAACCGTTCATGAAAATCCGTTTGAAATAAATACGCGTCCAGTAGCTATACTAGAAAAGACACAGGCAGATTTTCGAAAATATCCAGGAAGAGCAACACCAGAACCTCAAGCGACGCCAACGAAAAAAACGAAAGTCAGTTTGAGTGAGGTGGGGTACCAGAACAGCATAACAAATTTTTAAACAAATACCATTCGAATTACCACTACCGAACCGCGTCCTTCAACTGCGGTACGCTCCGAGTTGTGGCGCGAAATTGATCTTCAGCCTCCCACAGTTTCCAGTTCAGTTGTAGTGGGTTCATAACGCTTAGACCTGAACGGAAAGAAGTGTTCGCCAACATAGGCAAGCAGAGAATCACCAAAAATGATATGGTAATACACTTCGTAGCAAGCATGATCTACAGTAAACTTTGAAACGTTTCAAGATGTGTGTCAATTCGAAATTGCTGTGCCATCGCGTAAGAAAGATAGGGGATTCAGTAGCGAATTCGGTAGCTCCGCCAGCTAATGCATGAACGTAAGTGCATTGTCTTACGGATGACCCCTAAGTATTGGTTGGGTGACAGCTAACTGCTGAGCCTGTGTAGTGTTTTGTACCTTAACTTTGCTTCCGTTATAACATTACGTATTTTGTCAATTGCATGGACGCTTTTTGTTTGAATATGAAGAACTACAAAAAACGCGCACTTGTACAATTTCACGCAATTCAAACGTGGTCACGTCCTCCGACTCGCTCTTCTGATTTCGCCCACGTTTACAGCGGTGATTCACAGTCTCATGTACTAACTCTGGTATCAAAACGCTTCATGCTATCTTCGGAGTCTATTATATGTGGGAACTGTTAAGAAGAAGACCCTTGGCTACCATGATTGGATTATTGTTTGCTCCTTGACCTAGGCCAACGACGCACTATTTGAAAGAGACCAATTCTTAGTGAGTTTGTTCCATCTGAACTCTATTATTGTGTACCCAATCTAGCGTTATTTTTATTTCTTTGCCACACACCACTGGTAGATTAACTTATTGGGTAGCCAGACCACCACAATTTTCGGTGAGCCCGAGTCTTTTTAAATACCTTTAAATGTTTTTATTCTCAAGTCGTCGTAATTTTTTTGCCCGATCATTATGTAGGCACATTTCGATTCATCGGATTTAGTCGAGAATTCAATTACCATAGGATTACCAGACTATAATCCCTCCGATCCCAGGGCATGGTATCGCCAGGTGGAGGCTGTGTTTACTACCCGACGTATCACTTCCCAAGCAATCCCGCCTTTCCCATGTCGTCCAGGATATTCTTTGTGATTTAGCAAAAGAAGTGGATCTGTTGGAAGATGCCACCAAGCAAATCCCTCTGACGTCCTTCGAGCGGCTGTCATCAGTAGGACAAGAAGATCCGAAAACAAGATGCTACGCGATTTATTCACCACAGCCGAACTTCGCGATAGATCACCATCACAACTGCTTCGCCATATGCGCAGTCCCCTCTGCGGCCGTAAACTAGCGGATGTTTCTAGTTATTTCCTTTGGGTCTAAGTGCCTCTCTCTTTGATCTGTCGCTGACCTGACAATATCTTCATTGATGAACCACAGTTAGCTAACAATGATTTCTTCTGAAAGCATCCACACTGCCCAGTTTAGGACAACACGCACTGACCCGGCTAAACGACTATTTTACTGCTTAGTTTGAATTCACGTGTTTCTAAGGTAATATTCACCAAAAAGATGAGCCCAGAGTTTCTGAAAAGTGCCCTGTATCCGTTGCGGTTGTTGTCCTTCGATCTGCATATATTTTGGCTGTCCGCAGCAATCTGTTATATATAATTACCAGTAGACTTTAGGGAATGGCTGGAAGAGTGTTCAAAACACCGGAGAGGGGGACGGCAGGGCCTACAAAAAATAAGCTGCTAACGTACACGTTTCTAGTTTAGCCTGATACTTTTCCTCCTCAAAATTCCTAACGCCATGGATGACCTGAGCTGTTGGTGATTAACGCTCGATGCCCCTGTACGGCTGATCAGTCCATGAGATAATTTACATGGAATATCCCGCTTCTCCTGGCAAGAAAAGATACATTGAAAGATTGTGATTCTCAGCCTATCTGTCGTGGGAAAACCTTCGACTGAAAGCATCGATAATATGTCACATGACCATGTTTGACTCAGTTTTTGCGCTTCAGGTTGTTGCTGGTTCATGAAAAATGTAACCTGTGGCTTGGTACCCTCGTAGCTACACTTCTGAATCTGATTTTCCACCAAAAAATCAAAGCCTTTCGTCAGACTCGCTGTTATGGAGCCAGTTTATTCGTCAAAATTTCAATGTCGTTCAGATAATCTCTGTCGGCAGGCGCATTTATCACTGATCCGAAATTCGTACTACAGCGGTGGGAGTTGTTTTAACTTTTGAGGACACCTCATTATTTCTGGAGTTTCTCTCGCGCTATTCCCAAGAACGCCCCAAACCCTCGATATCTTGGATTTGTCCAACGTCCCGGTCGACGAGTATCCACCACTCGGAAGTAATCGAGCTTAATAATAATAATTATTATTATTATGTTTATTTCAAACTTGTGGGGGGCATACCATCGGGTATGATAATAATGTTATGGTCAGACTATAAGCATGACTGGCTGTTGTGTCTTGCTGAACGGTAGTGCAACTCTGTACCTGCCCCTTGACTTCCTGCTTCGCCCTCTACGGTATAGCAAAAAGCACGGTAGATCTACACAGCCCTTTATGGAGACAAAGGAAACTTATTACTACTGTATTTATAGGGTAGCCACCGAGTGTTCCTCAGGGTGGTACCGGAATGTCTGTTAGGAGGCAAGAAGAGTCGAGTTAAAGTTACTCGATCCGGATTGGCTGGCATTCTAACCAATCAGGACATGACTTCCTCTGGTTCGTGTCCTGCACGTGACGCATTCGTCCAAACGGCCGCTGGCTATTCGCACAATGAGATTGATTTCTCGAAATCTACGGCATTTTCAGACTTGCCACTTCATAGTGTAGAATGTCTATGTATAATGTATACGCCCCTGTTTTATTGAAAACCCTTAACTATGGCTATTTGTTTAAGTGAACTAAATCCCCAGGTGAATAAACACCGCCGACTTTGAATACCTTAACGGATGATAAAAAATCGCGAATTATGGAAAAGGTTGACTCATATAATGAAAGTAACTTTCAGGTATTTTTCCACCGAAACAGATTTCCCCAACCTTCTAGAATCTAAATGGCCTTTGGAGATGCAACATATGCGTAGGCGCATTCGCACAAACAAATTTTGGCCGATGATTCTTTGTTGCCAGTGGTGCACGCTAATTATATGCTAAACATCGTGCACGTTGACTGGTAAATTACAGTGTTTCATTATAGGTTCCGAACTATGCTAGAA